TCTTCCTCTCTCAGATAAATAGAGCATCTCCAGCTACAGCAGCATTTCAGATGGCCACTCTTTTGTACCCAATGGCCATAGCACAATTGCATTATTCAAAGACGCAGATGAAAGCCGCTTCTGATTCACCAAAAATATACATCCTTTGCAGTACTGTGATTAGATTGTAGATTTAATTCCTTTTGATGATACTTTTCTGGCTGCTGGCTTCTCACCAGGCCTCTTAGCTACAATGCCGACTCTGAATCAGTCATTCCTGCTGCTCTGTGCTACAAAATCTCTGTTTTGCGAGCGTTGATCACGTTAATTCTCATCTGAAATCATTCCAGGATATTCTGTGCTAACTGTGACAAAGATTATTTTTAGAACTGCCTTTAGTCTGTTTTCAGAAATCAATCTAAGAGCTGGAGCAATCTCAAAACGTTTTATTAAAGCCTTTGTCGCACTCTTAGCCAAGGAAATTAAGATAAAACACTGGGCCACACAGTATGCTTTCACCAAAATGATCATCACATACTATGTTGGTAATTGAGCCGAGATTATAAAAGGGAACGGATTGATGTGAAATGACAGATTTAATGAGGTAAAAAGAAAATACATGATTTCTGTGATATTTTTTAATAAATAAATATCCGAAAATGTGTTCCTTGTTCGCACTAATAAAAGAAAACATCCCCAGAGCAAGATGCTGCCACCGCCGTGTTTCATCATCAGAGTTGCCGGACCACTTAAACATTTAAAAACTAAAAGCAAGATCTTAAAATCAGTTCTCAGGTGTGCCATAATCCCCTTTTCCTTTTCAGATTAGGGATTGGACCAATTTCCATGAAATGTTTCAAGATTGTTTTATTGTTTTGCAGCCTAACTCTAGCTCTTCCTGCTGTGTTTCTTGGTCTGTGTGACCCTGTTTGGATCCTACTGTTCTCTAACAAACCTCAGAGGTTTTCACAGATCAGCTGTGATTGTAACGAGCTTAGCTGCACCCACGTTGACTCTGTTAGGTAATTAGGTAACTTCTGAAGGCAGTTGATTGCACGGGACTTTATTGTATTTATTTATTAGATAAAGCTAAGCTACAAGCTACACAATATTTTTTGTTTGATTTGATCTGTTGCATAAGATGGTTTTGATGCAAGTTGGTTAGGGTCTCCATTAGCCAGGCTTTGCACCCAGCTACTCTTCCTGGATTTCCATCATTAAGAACATCATACAGTAGAAATCATTGAAATGTGCGACAGGTTTGACATGCATAGCAATAAGAATGAATTATAGTTCATGCAAATGTTGATAAATATAGAAAATATTCAATAATTAACCATTTCAGTTTTAAGTGTGTTCATCCTAAAAACTCATTTTGGCTTTTTTTTTTTTAAAACCGCCATCTCTTCAGCTCTTCTGGGAGTTAATGGTAAAGCGTTCTGCTCCTTCACTGCTCTGTAAGTAAAAAGTGCATTTAAGATAGTTATTTTTTTGCCTAAGGAATTTGAAAATGTCTTAACTGGATGTATGGTGACATATATATATATATATGAATTTAAATAGATCTTTAACTGAAAAAATGAAAAACTTTCGGAATTTTAAAATTTAGTAGTAGAATAGTAATGAAGCTATAGGATTTAAAACCAGTCAAAACCTGAGTGCACATTATTTATATTAGTCCTGTAAGAACAATTCGATGCTAAGTGGGAAGCTTTTTTCTTCATCAATTGAAGTTTATCAACCATCTACACCCGGAGTGGCAGAGCCCTCACATTTCAGCAAGGTTATTCGACAGCGACTCTTGACCTCGCTTGTTTAGCCAGGCAGCCACACCGGCAGTTTATCTTGCTGTCATTGCTTTTCGAATCTTGATGCGGATGTCAGCGACGGCGCCTCACTCCGGTGTGTTTTTAGGCAAAAGCTGCACAAATTGATATGCCGTGGATTTCCTCCCGGAGCGGTCCAGGCCCCGGCAGGTTGTTAGTGGAAAGGCGCTACATCCCGGCGATCTCGGGTTCTCCGCCTTCTCTTTGCACTTGTGCCGATAATCACCCACTTGCGTGACGGCGCGTGAGGAGGCTCCGTCGATGTGACGCGTGTTTGCACACATTCCTACTTGAGCGTCACGATGTACATTTGTGCCTCCATCACCCCGCCTGTTTGCGTGCGTGTGTGTGTGTGTGTGTGTGTGTGTGTGTGTGTGTGTGTTTCATGGGGAACATTGTCTTTTTGAAACACTAAGCAAATCTCCTCAATGTGATAATTGGCTCCCCGGGGTGCTTGTATCTTTGCTGCTCATCATCGTTATCCCCTCAAGAAAAAAACAAGAGTGTTTGGGAGATGAGATGGGCGAAGTTTGCGCAGATGTCTGGGAAATGCATTCCAACTCGAGCTCAACTCTGGCTTGCGAGGAAAAACTTGGAGGCCAGCTCTTGTGCACGCAGGTCTGCTGAATGCTGTCTGCTGCCATCAGGGAGTCAGGTGCTTGTATTCTGACAGTTTAGGTCGATGAATGTTTTGCAGGATCCACAGGAGCTTTCTAGTTCTGGTTTTATACCCCAATCTTCTGTAGGAGACAGTGGTACTCCCATTTTAAACTCCTTTACTGTTCATACGTTTGGAAATAACATTGTTTAAATAGATACTGTAATTTTGAAAATTATTAGTGTTTTTAAAAGTTGTGCTGTTAATATTATTTAATTAAATGAAGTATGAACTTCCTCTTTGAATTTTCTCTAGAGGGTGCTGAAATAAAACTCTTAAGATCAGATGCAGTGTTTGTCTTGGTGCAAGCCAAGGTACAATGTATTTTCTAAAACACACATTGAAACAACAGGTTTACGGGAATGGTGCATCAATAAGTGATTTTCATAGAGTATGTGTTGCTGTCATAGATTTTATAAGTTTCATCCTGTGCTTCCTCTGCTTTAGCCTGGTAAAAACCAGCCCCTTGTTTCTACGCTTTGCTTTGTACAGAAGGTCTGGATCCTCAGCTATTGAGAAACGATTTCTTTCCGGAGGGGTGGACCCTTGAAGTTTTAAACAATTGTATATGATTTTACCCAATTGCTAATGTCTAGCTGTGATGTGCGCAATTGTGTTCAATTGTGAAGGGCGCTATGTTGTCAAGCTAACCGGAAATCAATGGCGTCAGCTGGAAAATAAGACTTTTGCCGAACCTGGTGGAGAGTAGGGCCAGAATGTCTTTGCCTGTAATGCAATGTCTTAGACATTCCCCTTACTCGATATTTGGAAGAGGGGCCCAATACAGACTGAATTTAATAGTAATATTTATTGTCCTCAAATGTGGAAATTTGCCTGAATGAATAACTTTGTTCACTTCCTCCGATGCCATTGCCAAACCTCAGCTACAGGGAAACCACAATTCAAAATCATTGCAGAAAATCGACGTCATTGTTCACAACTTCTCCGTCTGTTCACTGATTGGCCAGGATAAAATGTGTCCTGAGTAATTGAGCTCAATGGGAGAAATCCCAGATGGTGAGTTGAACAGAATTGTGTAGGAAGGCGATGGCCACAAACAATACGCAATAACTCAAATAGTAGTTGATGGATGACCACAGATGAGTAAGATGAAGTAGATATGTGACAGAGTGACCAAACTGTTTGTGAAAAAAGTTCCCACCTTGAGATGTTGCAGGGTTTACTAAAGTGAGTCCAGGGACATTGTTCTCTTTGAAGGAAAAAAGAAGAGCAGCCATCAGTTTAGAATAATTAGTTATAAGCAGCTGTTTGACGCTTGGAATGCTTTACTGGTTCTGATATTTTTGCTGTGCCACATAGATAGCAGAAGTTGGTGGTTTGCGGTGCTGACACCTGAGCTATGTGAAAAGCAGACCATTTTTTAATGCTTGAAGGCAAATAGAGATGCTCATCTCGCCAACAGTGTCTCTCCTGTGTCCGTAGACTTTCCCGTCCATATGTTCTCCCGGTCTCCCGGGTATAACGGACCATGGAGCAGATTGTTGGCCGCTTCATAGGGGAAACAGAGAGACAGCTGGGCACCCATCACACGGCCAAACAGATGTTCAGGTGACTCGGAGAGGAAGTGAATGGTAATGGCAGTGGGTGGGAGGTGATGCAGAAGACGGAGAGTGTTGATGGAGGCAGAAAAAATGAATTAATACACCGATGCAAGGACTCGGAGGCTTCATTAGCAATCCCCCGTCAGCCTGCAAGGTGGGCCAAATGCTTTCCACCCTCCCACGGCCTGAGATGTCGGCTTTGCCTCGCATGCGGATTCAGATACCGCGCTCTATCTTCTCTAAGGTCTAATGCCTTTGATCTCTTGATGATTTCTTTGCCTAAACGTGAACTGGATGGCTGAGCGGCACATTGATTCACCGCCTTAATTCTGACCCACCTTAGGGAACATTCAGAAGCTGAAACGGAATCCGACCCTGCAACCAGGCAGTGAAATGTTACCAGGCTGTGGCAAAAAATAAAAATGGAAATGTGCGAGCGGTTTTCACAACCCCCGTGGCTTCGGGCCAGGTTTGATTAAGTCAGAGGCGCGCATCTGACACACATCTACGTGATGCAAAAGCTACATTTTTGGCAAAGTCTTCCTTCCCTACTGTTAGTGAGACCCATTTATCAAATTAAGCTCAATGAAAGTTCTTCAATCTCTGTTCCAAGACCTCCTGCACAAGCCCTTCTCTATTTTCCTCTGCCAAGCTTTGTTCTTTGGTTACAGGTCTCATATATAATACATGAGGATTGGGAGACTTATCCCATTCGGTCCAAACTGGCTCCTATTCCCAAGAAAGGAGCTATATTTAAGAGCTGGAGAGGCCAGAGTTTGATTCAGTGGAGACGCTGACTTCTGCCTAAAATTGTGGCAGTGGTTCAACAAAGTCCTGAAACAGAAATTAACACACTTCCATTTAATACTTCTATTGACTTAACCCTCTTTATTCATTGTTGGTTGATTTAAAAAGCTTTAACAATGGTTTGTGAATTTTAAAAAACTGTTTTTTTCTTGTCTTTTGCTACAATAGCTGGCACCACCTACATCTTTGGCAAAGGAGGAGGCCTGATCACCTACACATGGCCCAACAACGAGAGGCCAAGCACACGGACGGACCGGCTGGCGGTGGGCTTCAGCACCACCATCAAGGATGCCATCCTTGTTCGCATCGACAGCGCCCCACGCCTGGGCGACTACATCATGCTCCACATCGTATGTATTATCTATTTTTACTTTCTGTGTGTTTTTTTATGTTTGTGCTATCTGTAAGCCTTTATACAATATCTATATTGGCCAATAGGGGGGATTTCTAAAGAAAATTGGTTGCAAGGAATTTTATTTTGGGGAACAAGGGTTATGAAACAAAATGAACTTGGACCAAAGTCGAATTGTCGAGGTGCGGTCACGTGGTTTTCGAATGTTTGTTTTTGCACAAACCTTTCACAATCCACAAGACACATCGAGCCGACTCCTCATGCGAAACCCCTCTGGCAGGAGTATACGTCAAGGTGTTTTATCGTATGTGTGGTTTACAGCAGTACAGTAAACACGGCCATCATGACAGAAAGGGACAACTATTACGGGTTCACAAGGAGGAAATAAAAGCTGGAAAATCCAGTTTTATTTCCCATGTTATCAGAAAATAAGAATGGAAAGCCTCGGTGAGACGTTCTCCCGCTGCATGAAGGTTTTAATGTTTCAGTACGTTCTTCCTCACAGGCTCGAACAATTGCTCCTCAAAACTATCCATCCCACTCTACGGCTGCAAAACCGACATCATGAAGTTGAGTATTTGGGGTTGTTTTCCACAAAAACAAACACCCACGAAGTTCAGACCAATCACACAATAGTTACTCATGAAGATCGGGGCAAAAAGTTCATCAGGGGAGTTTTAGGGGCTGACGACACGAGGCTGAGAACAAAATGACAAAACTTTCATCACACAACTGCGACAATGAGAACCGATTTTGGCAGTTTGGTTCGAACATACAGAGCCCTTTATTTAATTTATATGATATGCCACAAACCAACACTACCCAACATAACAGAAAGGTTTAAAAGGATTTTTCAAGATTTGACTCTTTGTCAGTGGTTGGCTGAACCAGTTCCTCCACATTACATGAATCAGTCGGTTTTGCTAGCTGGTGGCATAGTTTAAAAGTTACAAAAACTTAAAGGCACAAAGGTTTCAGAGCACAAATCAAGCACAACTGAGTTCAATTTGGGTATTGTTGAAGACTGGTAACCTTTTGAAGACCTACCTACTATGAATCTTTATTTAGTATCTTAAAACAAAAGCATCACAAACACATTACGTTACACAAACTATCACAAGCACAGCTTTTTAGGTCTGAAGAGGGATGCTCCTCTGATTTGTATGCAAACCCCAACATGTGGTGGGAAAATGAATACACATCATGCTGTGAGAAGGTTGACAGATTTGATACATTTAGGAATCCAAAGTTGAAGCCTTGTAATGTAGCAAAATGTAAAAAAAAAAAAAAAAAAAAACTCCTGGAGTTTGAATATCTGTTCAAGGCACCGTATGTCGCACATATTCAAACCAAGTCGAATTTAACAAACAGACTCGCATAATTTAAATTCTCATGGCAGGCCTCAGGGCAAACACAGCCTGTGTTTCTCAAACTGATCTATGATTAAAATGCTAAGAGAAAGAAAAGTACTGTACTCTTCTCACCACCCCTCCCTCTTCCACATAATCCCAGCTCTCCAGCACATTCAAACCAACTCTCAGCATGAATAATAAATGCGTCTCTCCATATATATGGACTCTTCTACCTCACGTTGGAGAAACTTGACGGAAAACTTGCGAAAGAGTTCACGACCGGTGGACCGGGCGAACCAGGCTCGGCATCTTAATAACCTCTCGTCGTGACCTTGCATGTCGACTCGCGCATGTAAGCATCAACTATTAGCATAACAATCAACCCTGGCCGGGGCGTCAAATCGCTGCGGCAGTGTTTGCTGGCGACGGAGGAAAGTCGCAGCTGACGGAAAAGAGATGACGTGATGACGAGGCGGGGCGGTGGGGTTAGGGTGCTACAGTTGCTAAAGCAGATTGAAAGTCTTTTTCTTCTTAAAGAGCACCCCGCGTCTCCTGAGTGTGAGCCATGTGGTGCAGAAAAGCAGCCATCTGTTCTGCAGAGATGAGGGCCAACAGCAAGAAAGTTCTGAGTCTGCTTTACAGCACAGAACAGGAAGAAAAAGAAAAAAAAGAAATGTGTGTATGCGTGTGGGCATGCATGTATGATTGGGTGGAAAAAGGAAGTGAAGTGGCGTGGATGTAGGGGAAGCGATAAAGATGTACAGTAAATTGTGTGGGTGATGTGGGAAAGCGCCTCCCTACGTGGTTCTAACCAAACGGATAATTGGAGTAACCTCTTAAGGAAGTGAAATGAATGCATTTTAATCCTACATTTGAGATAGTATAGCAGAGCTAGCCAAGCATGATATCTCCTGTAAATTGGCTTCAATTCATTAGATATGGAACGTCTTCATTCCCACACTCTAGTGAATGTATTAATAGCAAAGAGGCATATGGTGATTTCACAAAATAGCCGTGAACTTGGCTTCTTCTTGCAGTGTTATACTGCTGATATTTTTAAATGATTTATTTATTGACATCCGAGGGTGGGTAAACAAAGACGGGGGTTTTGATTTGATTTCAACAATGATTGTTGAATAAAGTGACCAAACCAAGGTACTGTATGCCTCCTTTGTTCTGCAATTGCACTTGAGCAGAAATTAAATGAGGGAGGATAATTTTTTCTTGTTTTCTTTTTCTATATTTACATTGGTATTATGTTGCGTTAAACCTTGGGTGAATATTTAGCTTTGAATATTTTAGAGGAAAATCCCCTCTACCTCTTTTCAGTTCTACTAAAACGCAGGAAAGAGGAAATGTTGGCAGCATACGTGAACGGTGGAACTCACTTTTAAAACATATTTTACCAGTACGTATACAGAGACGCTTTACAATTAGACTATAATAAACTGCAATGCTGTAATCATTTCTAATGGCCCATGTTCGGCCCTCGCTCTCGGCGGCGTGAGCTTTGCAATGAATCTGAAGCGAAAGGTTAAAGGCATTACGCCTGTCGATTTAGGATGTACGTCCAACCAAAGGTCTCGCCATGCTCTGGGCTATCACCTTAACTGTTATAATTATTGGGTCGTTGTCGGAGCGTCGGCGCACAGCGGCGGCACTGCAACGTCTTTGATAGCTGAGGATATGGCAGGGAAATGTCAACATAAAAAGAAAACACCTTAAGCAGATTTGTAGATAACAGTGGATTATCAGGGCATACACGGCACTTTGTTTAACATGCAAAGCCCTTAGCTGTGAGGAAAAGAAAAACAGAATTCCGAGGCATGAGCTAATCACAGACTCTCTCTCTCCAGCCTCGCTCTCTCTTTTGCTTCCCTCATTATCTCTTCCCCGTGATTAGCTTACAGCTTGTTTGGCAATCACGAATTAAAATGCTGATTGTAGTGTTTACATTTTAACTGCTAAGAACAACTGCACGCTTGGGTTGAAATCGTGGGGGCAATTTGCGAAGGTGAGCGGGACATTTTGCCCCTGCTGGCATCTCATTTGCGAGTTCAGTTCATCTGAATGCGGAGCGTGCAACGGATAAAGAACTTTGTCAAGCTTCTAAGGGGGAAAAAAAAAATAGCTGCCCTGAAGTAAATGCAAAGATGAAACCCTGAACAATGTTTTTACTTAAGATCTTCTAAAATGTGTTTTCTCTCTGAGACCACTTCCTCTTTCATTTTGTGATGCCTCGCTGCCCAGGGCGCCATTCCATCAGAGTACGGCATGAGCACTTGGAGGAAAAAAAGACTTAACTTACAAACAAAAAAGAAAATTCATGAGACATGAGCTCCAGACCATGTCTAAGTCAAGTCTTGAATCTTTAGGGTCCAAATCTAAGTGAAATTTGACTGTTTCTGTATCCTAAGTGAGACTCAAGACAAAACTAATGTCCCTTTTCCTACTCATTGTGGCTCAACTGGGCTTTCCAAGGGTTTTCTATGGTTACTTGGTACCAGCCCAATATTTAGGGCTGGTACCTTTGCTGTGGTTCCAAGTGTGCACAGTCGGGCTGAAAATCCAATTTCAGTAGATTGTCAATCACCAACTCCGTAAGGTTGGAATCACTAGTTGCATCACAGAAGTGACTCCCTTACAAAGGGACAATGAGCAGATTGTTTAAAATAGCCCCCATTGTTGTTGGTGTTGAGTACTCATCACGTGGCGCTACGTTCCGGACTCTAGAACCGCCCAGCTGTATGAAGACCAGCTGAATCACCCTGTCGAGGTGAAAATGGAGTCGAGTGTCGATCTCTGGTCTATTGTCTGTTCAGCCAAAAGGGTCAGTGAATGTCCTTGTGTGTTTTGGACTGTGAACGCTGATTTAAAATATGTTTTCAAACTAGCCTGGCAAATAATGTTGAAAACTAAGGTCTGGTTCACAGTTCTTGTAAAGAATTTGGAATCTCTAGTTTAAAATATATAGAATTTTTTTCTGTAAGTTGAAGTCCCGGCTTGGAAAGGGAGCGTTCCCCACCAACCCAGAGTTCAGATTCATAATGGTTTGCTAAACTTCACAAATATGGTAGGAAAATTAAGGCAACTGTGTTTATGCACTGCTAATGTTTTCTCTTATTGACTAAAGTCATCCGTAGTTTTATACAACTTCTACTTGCTCCATCATATTTAAATTGATAGAATGGAGAGCCGTAGATTGTTATTGGCTAGCGTAGCTAATAGTGATTAGCATTGCTAAAATGCTAGCTTCCAACTAGCAGGGTTTCGACTAGTGTGTGATGTCATTCTCAGGCAAACGGAGCTGACAGGTCTGATCTGTTTCACTGTTTTGGCTCTCAGCTGCACATGGATCAATCAGTTTCTATACCGTGATTTAAACTTCAAAAACTTTCACGATTCCACACAGTTTGATCCGATTTCAGCTCGGATGTCTCTGGGTATAATTTAGATGTCGCTGAAATGTATTTTTAACTAAGATTGCTCAGTGGGACGCCTCGTTCCCTCACCTTCAGTTACACTCGAAAACATGACGATCAGCCAGGGTCTTACTTTCTAATAGGGCTCACCCACGCCGAATCTCATTATCCGTTTCAGGTTGTTCTTCCCAGCCCTCTCGCGCTAATTTGCTGCGAGAAAGGTG